TTGATGGTGTCCCTGCGAAACAAACAACTCGTCGGGGAATGAGTGGGATCGGCTGTCACTGGGAGCTGACATAAAGTGATGAGCTGTCAGGCTGGTTTTGTTTTTCCTCATTAACAAGTCCACCTCCTAACTGTCGCTTTCTGTAGCCAGAAAACTACTTTATGAGCCTCTCCAGTCGGCTGGCCCATGATAACATGTTCAGGGATACAAAAAACAATTTACCATGTGTCAAATGTTGTTGTTGTCAAGGCACCTCTTCTGAAGGAGGTGGAAAAAGGTTGGCACATAAATTGAAAGGTGCGCCTCACCGAAGGGGGCTGAGGCCACACGTTTAATAGGAAGCTTTCTTAAATGCTACAAGTGAATAAGTGAATGAATGACAACCCCATTAACCTCTTCTGTGATTAGAGATCCCTAATCACAAGAAAATGAATGCGTCCTAATCACCACGGCCATCAAGAGAAATAATCAGTGAATTATTATAGGCTCCGTGCGTGATTTTGGGTGATTTGCATGATTTTGTGTTTTGTTTTTTTTATCCCCACACTGTTTTTGAACTGGTGGCACCTTTTGGAGAGATGGATTGGGTGCTTGCTGCCAGAACATTGTCTGCAACAGAAAACCCTATGGCAGCTGACAGAGCCGAGTGACTGAGGAGGGGGATGCACCAATCTATTATCCATCATTCTGCGTCTGAGTCAGCCGCACATGCACATTTGAGTGTGAGCACATGCACGCACGCACACACGAGAGTAAATACAAGTAGGAACATAGCTTGAACTCACAGTCAATCTCTGTCTCGCACACACACACACACACACGCGCACACACTTGACGAAGAGCAAGCTATAATGATGCTCTTACTCATTCAGTGCCGAGCAGAATCTCCTCATTGTGTTGTTGTGATTAATGGTAACTAAAGAGCTTGAATCTTGAATAGGATGAACATGAGCTAACGACTTATTAATCAAACTGCAATACTTAAAGCAAATAATGTTTCAGCTGCATCTCCGCGTGGAGAAATGAAGTGTAATCCCCCCTCTCTCTTTCTCGCCGTCGCACACAAAAACATAAACATTTATTAAATCTATTCTGTGTGTTCGTGCTGAATGTTTGGAATCTGTGTTTTTCTGTCTGCTTTGCGTAGGTTTGTGTACCTGTGACTGTGTCAGAGAAGTGCAATGAATGCCTCTGAAGTGTCTGTGTGCTGATAGCAGGGGACAGGTACCATCAGTCTTGGCATCATTGGCAGATTAATGAGAGTGCTGTATTTAGCTCCAGCCCTGTCTCCCTGCCTGACCTACTGTCAGAGAGTTGCTCTACTCTTGAAACACACCTTATTTCTTATATGAGTTTTCACCACAAGCAAAACACTAACCTTCAGACTTTCTACAGATGGCTGATTGAATGAGGCAGTGAGGATTTGTCACAGCTGTATCTACATTTTTCATTCACAGAGGAAAATTGTCGTTGGAGTTGTACTTTGCAGTGTAAACACAGCACAGGCAGAAACGCTGGCCTTTGCCTGCGCAGCCTCTAAAAAATACATTCCGAGGCAAAACTTAACCAACCTCACGCATCCCCCACAACGAACCTATTTTCCATCGCCTCTCTTGAGCCGTGACCCAGAAAGTACAACTGTGGCTGGGACTCACTAGTGAGTCCTGACCCTCTATTTGGGGAACGCTGGTCCAGAGCACATCTGTATTCAGCCCTGGCTCTGTACTCATATTGTCAATGGCCAGCGCCCGGACTCCTGAAGATGGATGAAGCTAAAGCCCAGCCTAATAACCAGTCCATACCCCCAGGGTGGGTGTAGCACTGCGCTCCTCTGTCACCTGGGTCCCTGCACTGTCTCCATATTGACTCAGGCATTTCATTTTCATGCATTCATATTCATCACCAGACAAATCTCCCCAGCTTCTGTGCTCTCTGGGAAACATCTTTCTTTTTCCTGTGTGTCTGGTTCTGCCTTTCTCATTCTGCACCATTATAATCACCCAGTTTTTTAAGGTGTGTATGCCCCTGTCACCAACTCTCTCCTGCACTCTTGTATCACGTATCTAAATAATGAGTGTGCATCTGAGTAAATATTGCTGTCTCCATAAAAAGCACCACACCTCTTCGTCATAGAAGGTCTCGTGTACTCTCTGTTCTTAATGTTGTTTTGTATTTCCTGCCGGGCTCAACTGAAAAACTGAACATTTGTAATTTTTTTCTGTTTTCCCCCAGCAGCCAAACAGGAATCAGGAAACAGGAGACAGAGAGGAGAAATGTAAAGATCATGGCACATTGGTCATGGAAAGGTAGATAGCGGGTGGATGCTTACAGGTCAAAAGCGCAATAATTTAAGGGTCAACTCGCAGAATGCAGAGGATGGAAAAACATTTAATCAAACACAAGTCAGAGAAAACCCCACCTGGAGTGGCTGCCTTTTTATTGTGTCTTGAATCTGGTCTTCAATGGAGAAACGGAGGAAAAGATAATAGAACTGAGATGCTGCACTTGCAGGCTTAACCACAGAGAAAAAATCAGGCCACAGAGAGAATGAGAGGCTCTTAGAATGTTTTTGGGCTCAGTATTGGTATTGGGCTGAGGCTCTTGAGCTGAAGTAGGCAAGTGCTTGTGCGGCTTTGTGCGGATCATTATCTGAGTGCTGTGTGGGAAGCGACTGCACGCACATTTGTGTTATTGTATGCGTGCGTTTGTCTGTGTGTGCTTTGTATGGGAGGATGTGCTACAGCAGCAGCACCATTGTTCCTGCCTCCCCTTGTACTCTTCCTTCCTTCCTTCCTTCCCCCCCTCAGGGTGTGGACAGCAAACAGGGACAGATTGCTGTGTGCTGCTCCTGTATTTGGAGATGACCTGTGGAGTCATAGGTGATGATGACTGGCCGGGTGAAAAATAAGGCCAGGTGGCTATCGTAGGCCTGCGTGGCAGCCAGCACCGGGGGCCATGCTGTGCAGTGCCATGTCGCACTACAGCGCCACTCCTCGCCACACCATTAAAAATGACAAATGCTCTCATCAAGCTGCTTTTCCCAAGTTAGCAACCACTGCCTGATGTTCCTGAAGCACTGTGGCTGCCCCAGTTCATCTGCTGGCCTTTGCCACAGCTGGAACAGCCATTTATTAAGTGTGAGTCACTTTTCATTTACAGTGTGTTTGATTTTTGTCATTGGAAAGGTTAGGAGTTGAATTGCAAAGGGGCACAAAAGATGGATGCAGTGTAAACAGTTCGGGTGTGTTGGAGAATAAAAGCTGCACATAGTTAAGAGTAAAGTGTGGCCCTCTTTTAAAGGTCCAGTGTGTGAGATTTAGGAGGATTTAGTGGCATCTAGCGATGAGGATAACAGATTGCAACCAGCTGAAACTTCTCCCAGTTAGATTTCCTTCAGAGTTTATTGTTCAGCAGGTTTTAAGCTGGAGCCGAATTATCCACAGAGGTCTCTTCTTCTCCAAAACAAACACACTCTGTGATTTAAAGCAGTTAAAACACTGAATAAAGCTGTTTCATGTTACAAATCTGTGTTTCTGTGACGCCGTGCGGCTCTCGCAGATGGGCTGCTTGCCCTGCACCTGTTAATGTGTGCTCACCCTGTTTTTTCGGATAATTTAAGATCCAGACATGCAGGAGTTTTTTTTTTTACTGGAAGCTGAATTACCTTCAGAGGTCTATTCCTTTCCAAATCAAACAGACCCACTCAATAAATCAGTTTTACATTATGAAAAATGAGTTTTTCAGACATTATATCCCCCTAAATCACACACGCTGGACCTTTAAGTTCCTCTAACTGTGCCATAAATACAGGCTTTCATTTTATAGGCTACATAATATTTGGAAAACCCTACTGTTCATCCGTCGGTTGAGTCCATAAAAAGTAAAGCAGGTAAAAAGTATCTGGGCCAGTATGCTGTGAAGGGACAGCACTGAAGTATTAGGCCATCCAGTGGCCCCGGGTAAAACCAGGCCTACTCAGGCTGTAGATTAAAGACTCCATCCCAATTTCTGAGCTCCAGGGACTTGGGGGACGTATCTAGCCCAAGACAGGTGTATGGTTCTGGGCTACAGGGTGGCAACTGCCCCCTTCCCTGGCTGAGGCAGACCTCGGTCCTCCGCGTCCCTGTGGGGGAAAAGCCCATTGTGTGTACCATCTGTTGCAGCACACGCGCACACAAAAAAGGGGTGACGGGGGTGCAAGGGGAGGGAGCTGATGTGCAGTGCCTGGATAATATCATTAGGAGGTGCAGTTGGATTTGCTTAAGCTATTAGGAACATTGCAAATGAGGTTTGCATAATGGGAGAGTGAGGGTGCCAGACCACGTACAAGGCTATTTTAGATATTTTTAATAAAATTGTGTGGTGGTCACTTAGGTGGCAGGTTGGAGTGGGGGAGCTGGTAAACAAGCTGCCAGTGTAGTAATGAAAATAGAGTAAAATAAGCTCTACTGGCTTTTGGAGACTTAATTTAGCAAGCGATCCTTGTGATTTTTATAAATTAAAAATGCTGAAGTCCGAAGTCAGGGTGATATTAATTGCAACACACACTTTCAACTAGAGGAAAGTAAGCAGCAGGCCATATGGGAGCCTGATAAATTGTCCAGCTGCAGTATTATTCTGAACCAGAGGTTGACAGACTGGTGAACTAGTACACAGCCGTTTAGATCGCCTCCCATGGGGGTAGGCTTGGCTCTGTGTGTGTGTGTGTGTGTGTGTGTGTGGATGTTTGGGCTTGCAGTGGCTGCAGTCACCCGACTGGTGGCGCTATTTCCCTTCAGTGAAGCGGACGCCGCTTCAAATAGGTCAAGGAAAAGTTTTGTGTTTTGACAATGCGAGGTGGGCGGAGCGGCGGGCCGGTGATTGGTTCGCGAGTTTCAGCTCCCAGCCGATGATTGGCCCCGGTGCTCTAATGGGACTGTGTGAGCAGCAATGTCGGGTCTCTCCCACCTCCTCCTCCTCACCCCCCCTGCTCCTCGCACCCCTCAGCCCCTACACTCCGCTCTTCCCCGGCGCTGATTGTCACACATTTTTTACTACGGCTTGAAATGTGACTCACAACACAGGCTATCTGCTGGAGTACCGCTCTGACAACTGAGGGATTCTTTTTGACGCGCACCGTGCGTCTTGGTTTTTTTGGGGGGCGCACAGGCTGTGGAGACTACCCTTCTGCCATGACAGTGGATTTGTTTGCGCTTTTATGCGTGCTGGTCATCACATCCTCTGCGATGGAAGGTAAATAATGAGATCGGGATCATACTTGTTGTAGATGTGGAAATGCTTCTCTCCAAGGCGCGCAGTGTTTGGGGATGCTCGCAACGTTTTGCTGTAGGGCAGCGCTGCGCCTCTGGCATACAGGGATGTCATACACGTGGATCGCAGCAGATTGCCGTGGTTATCCCTTTTATTTCGGAGCGGCGGTGCCTCCCGCTCCGCTGCTTGTCACTGGCGTTTCTTGTCCATGTGAAAAACGAGACTTTGAATGTGTTAAATGGCACACGGTACTTTATCAGAGGCTGTCCATGCGCTCAGATCAGTTTCTCTCACTGTTTCTTGTTCAGTACAGAAGGTAGCTCTTCTATAATTGTGTTATTTTAGATTCTCATTATCCCATGAGCAATTAGTTTTTCTCAGTGGGAGACAATGGCTATGTTGTAAGTGTCAAAGCTCCAAGGATTCCTGTCACGTTTTTTCATTAAATTGTACATATATGAAACACTATTACCACAAACCCTTGAGCATCACTCTGAGGCATTTCCAACTGCTGAGACAAACTCTATTAGATTATTACGGATTGCACTGATTGGAAGTCTCCCTGTAACCTGGATTTTACGCACTTGTAAATTTCTGTGTTTTACTTTTGGAAATCAGCCACTCTATTAAAACAAGAGAGCACTCAGCAGCCTCTCCCCTTCTCTCACACCCTCCCTGTATTTTCTCCCTTCATCCATCTCCATTCCCTTCTCCCTTTCTCTCTCTTTGTCTTTCTGCATCTCCTTCTATTTCCTCATTTCGCTCTCACGCACTCATCTGGACAAGCGGCACTGCCACTAGTAGCTAATATCGCCTCAGTTAAACATGTTTTTCATTTCCGCTGTGGGACCCTGGGGACCCAACGCTGGGCCGTAGCCTCAAACGTTGGCTGATGGATGGATATCCCGGCAGCATCATGGATATATAGTTTCTTCCCTCATTTTGCCGTACAGTAGCTCACCCTCGCCAGTAAAACATATTCTGGAGCACAGCAGCTTCCCATGGCTGTCTCTACCCCCCCTCCCAGTAGCATAAATAAGTAAATTAGAAGCACAAATAAAATGAGTTTTCTCACATGCAGCTTCTCTCTTTAATCATTTACAACTCTGCTCCTTGGACTGCTCCCAGCTCCCACTGTGCTCTGTAATTCGGCAGCGGCTTTCTTATTTGTTCTCATCAGATTTCAACACAGCTATGGATACCAAGCCCAGGCCCAAATTGCTACCTCTGCGAGGATGGATATTTCAAGGGTTCAGATGTTTACCCAGTGTGAAATGACAGCAGAAATGTCAATTCAGAGGGATGAACGGAGGAGCGAGAGGGGAGGAGGAGGAGTGATATTTCCCTGCGAGGAAAGGGGTGTGGGATTTCTCCTCTAAAAGATGGGATGAGAAAGAAACAGATGGGCAGGGAGATGGCCCCTGAGTTACCTCGGTAACAAGGATGAAAGTGATTTCCTTGTTTGGGTCGCTAATTGAAAGGAGGTTGTCCCGTGGGCAGGTTAAAATCTTCACTGATGTGAACTCCAATCTGTTGCTCTTTCATTTTGTGTGTGTTTGGGTGTGTGTGAGATAGAGAGCGGAGCCACTGACCACATTATCCCTGCCTCTCCTGTCACCCTTAATCTGATTACGAGTAGGAATCAGACGATAATCACACAGTGTCAGAGATCTGTGTATGCATGTGTGTGTGTGTGTGTGTGTGTGTGTGTGTGTGTGTGTGTGTGTGTGTAACTTAAGAGTACAGAGTTGTCCTGGCCATATGGACGCACACTTGTGTTGAATTGAATGAATTATTTGACCTCCCGACACATGCATACACTCACAGTAAACACCCCACGCATCATTGATGAATTGATGAACTGATGAACTGCAGGGTGAATGGATGGATAGATGGGAGGCAGCTGAGCATTATAGAGAAATGGATGGAGAGTCAAAGCTTGCAGCCGTGAGTGTCTTACAGAGTAAAGGTGTGTGTTTGTGTCTCTGAAAGTTCAAGTGCGAAGTTGATGATAGAACTTTGAATTTGTTGGATTTAAACTCTTAGCACACACTCACACACAAGTACTCAATCCCACACACATGAAGGCACGACATCTGCAAAGAGAAATGCATTCACCGACAAGTTATTGAAGGGGCAGTCAGAGCTAAAGCAAAGGGCTAACAGAGAGCAGAGGGAAGACAGGGATTTGCATGCCATTAGAAAAAGAAGCATGTGCAGTGCTGTTTCACCCTCATTTGTCTTCTCTCTCCATTTCTCCCATCATCTTCTCTCTGCCTACTTTTTCCTACGCCTCCCTTTCCCCCCTCATTTCTCTATCCCACTCTGTCTTCCATAATTCTCTTCACTAATCTCCCCATCCCTCTCTTGTCTCCCCTCTCCCCCTCTTCTGCTCACTCTCTCCGTGGTGTGCGTACGCTTCTTGCCAACAGCAGCAGTAATTCTCCCCTACTTACAGAGCCATTGCTTATTTCTGTTTGCCCTTAAACCAATTAGACTTAGATAAGCCCGCTCATTTAACGGCCTGGAACTGGGTGGTGGAGGTAAGCGCGAACGGAGGCAAGGGGGATGAAACGGAAAGATAGACAGGGACCGTGGGAGATAAAGAAAAAGATGAGAGAGGCAGATGGAGGGAGGTCAGCGAGTTTCACGAAAGATACATTACGCATGTCTTACAAATGAGTCGCCTGCAATCGAACAAAGCTGTGGAAGTAAGGGAGCATCGGGCTGTCTCAGTTATCTGACAGAGATAAGTGCGCCATGCTACCCTGGGGTAAAACAGCAGCAGCATTCAGTATGATAAGAGAACATTAGTAATGTGCTGTTAACCAGTCCTTAAGGATGCTGCGTTAAGTACCTGTACTATGGTGATGTCTCATCCTCAGGGGCCAAGTGGATGGAACGGAGGATACTGTAGCTTCCTGCATAAACATTATTAATGATAGCTTAAGCATCAGATAACAGTTATGGAGGTCAGAACCACACACTGTTGATATACATTAATCAGGAGTGTTAGAGAGGCATATTGATCAGAAAGGTCAGAGGACAGAGTGTTTAAGAGCAAGCGATTGCCCTGCTGAAGTGTCCTTGAGCAAGACACTGACTCAGCTCCAAGGGCGCTGTCTTCCAGTTGACCTACTGCTCTGACCCCACCGCGGAGAGAAGTGTGAGTCAGCCTGCCAGGATTCATAAAGTATCACATTATTGTTATTCTGTTGGTGACTTATTTTTCTAATCAGAGCAGCTGGAAGCTGGACTTTTATTAAAGCTAACTTTGACTGTAGATGCCGCCTTGTAAAGCTAACACACGGCTCTGCCAGTCCGCCGCCTTGCTGCGTATTTTGTGGTTTGGCGAGGCTCAAGAGGCATTTGCATGAGACAACTGTCAGTTCGTGTAGAGTGCACGGTGGATGATTGACAGTATCATGCTTTACTCAGACAAACCCATTTGTGCCCACAGCTGAAATTTTGAATTTCCCTTGGTGAACGTGTTCTCTGGGCTCGCCTTAGCACAAAGCCAGAGAAATTTTCAAAATCTTGCAGGCTGTTAAAGCTACAGTTGGCAACTTTTGTGAAGAAAACTTTGTGTCATATTTAGTGAAACTGTCACTGTATTCTGAAAGTAGTACATGAGACAGTCTGTCCAAAAAATCATGCCCCTCCTCCTCTTCCTGTTGCTTCTAATGGCATTCGCTTGAATCCACTACGGTGCACCAAAAACAACCAGTAAGAGCTGAGGATCATATCAACCACTGTTCGTGTTTGGGCAAACTGTCAAACCAGGCTGTGTTGATCAAATGTGAATCAAGAGTCTGTTACTACATTGCCTATCTCTCACTTTAAATGTTTTCAGCAACATATTTTAGTGTACTGTTTATCTGTAAAATGAGAACCTTTGTGACCCAGCCATCGTGTTGTAAATAGTCTTCCAAAGCAACAAGCACTGCCCACTTGCCTGACCAACTTTCCCACTTTACAGCTAAACAGTACACTAAAACATGCTAATAAAAATTGGAGGAGAGAAATAGGCATGGCAGTAACAAAATCTTGATTCATATAAAATCAGCGCTGCCTAGTTTGACAGTTTAACCACAGTTGACAAGCAGTGATTGACATGAGTGACAGCTGCTTCAGAGACTTCTCGGCACTGACTACAGTAGGGCCATTAGAAGCACCACAAGGCAAAAACAGTGGTCCCATGTGCCTGAAGACTACACACAGTATAATAAGAAAATACCTGTATCTCTGAAACTACAAGAAGCACGATCAAGCATCTGGTATCTGTGAACTCATAACAAGTTGAATGTCAAAGATATGCACACATATGCAGTGTAAAATATGAAAGCTGTTTAAAGAGGATCTATTATGCTCATTTTCAAGTTCATATGTCTGTAAGGTTTCTACTAGAACATGTTTACGTGCTTTGATGCTCAAAAACACTTTATTTTCCACACATTGTCTGAGCTGGAACAACTGTATTCATCTTCTGTCTGAAACGCTGCATTTTAGCGCCTGTGTCATTATGCATGAAAAAGCCCAGTCTGCTCTGATTGGTCAGCATTTCCGGGTCTTCCAGGTCTTCCATGTCTTCCGGGTTTTCCGTATCTAGGCGACTCTGTTCCGTCATTGCAGCCGAGGAATGACTGTAACAGGGAATAGTTACCAATAAAAGCTTTTAAACACGACAGGAATATGATCCAAAATCAGTATAGGCAACTAAGATTACATATTTACCTGATGTTGGCATGACACACTGTAGGCTACTCCTAACACTTGCCGTAGCCTATAAAGAAATCAGTACACTATAATGTCACACTGATGCCAGAGTAGAAAAGATGGTTGAAAACGGAATGTTAAAAACGGTAGGTAATATAAGGTTTTTGCTAACGAGGATAACTTCTGCATATGTTTTCCTCGTTATTTGAAACTCTGGCCACATTTGATATCAACATTGTTTATTGTAAGACTCCTTATAACACACA